AAAAAAAAAGGTCAAAAAGGAGACTTCTGATCTTGTTTCCAACAGAAAATTTTTAGAAAATAAAACATTCTTCCTTTTCTCATGTGGTCTTCATTTACCATGGTCTCCTATTCCTTGTTCTCCCTCTCTGTTCTTGATCCAGGTGGGATCTCCCGCTCTCTTTCCCTCGACCCTCACCGTTCATTGCTCCCACTCATGTCCAGGCTGTTTATGTAGGTCTCATCTATTTCTCCGTCATTGGGTGATCCCCATGTCTTTCTTGGGGTCCTGTTTTCCAGGTAGCCTCACTGGTGATGTGAGTAGCAGTCCAGTCATCCTTGTTCCACATCTAGTATCCTCCTATGAGTGAGTACATACCATATTTGTCTTTCTGAGTCTGGGTTACCTCACTCAGGATTTTTTCTAGATCCATCCATTTGCCTGCAAACCTCATGATGTCATTGTTTTTCTCTGCTGAGTAGTATTCCATTGTGTATATGTGCCACAATTTATTTATCCATTCTTCAGTTGAAGGGTATCTAGGTTGTTTTCAGGCTTTGGCTATTACAAACAATGCTTATATGAGTGAGAACTTTTGAAACCAAGGTTGGATAAAGCACAGGGACAAATAGCCAAAGAATGGAAACACATGAACTATGAACCAAAGGCTGAGGGGCCCCCAACTGGATCAGGCCCTCTGAATAGGTGAGACAGTTGATTGGCTTGATCTGTTTGGGAGGCATCCAGGCAGTGGTACCAGGTCCTGAGCTCGCCGCATGAGATAGCTGTTTGAAACCTGGGACTTATACAGGGACGCTTGGCTCAATCTGGGAGGAGGGGACTGGACCTGCCTGGACTGAGTCTATCAGGTCGATCTCAGTCCTCGGGGGTGGCCTTGATCTGGAGGTGGTGGGAATGGGAGGTGGGCTGGGGGGAAGGGGAGGGGGGCAGGAAGGGGGAGAACAAGGGAATCTGTGACTGTTATGTAAAACTGAATAGTATTGTAAAATAAAAAAAGCATTCTGATTAGAGATTTTAACTATTAATGCTGAAATACTTATAAAAGATTTTATATCCTTAAATGCTACATGTTCATAAATATTATACTAAATAGTAATAATTTTACTGGTGAGTATATAATAGTAACAGCATTCTAAAAAAGTTATCTCCCTGTAATTATAAAAATAGTAAAGGATATTGAGACGTTTAGGATGAATTTATATTTTTAAGTATATAATCTTAATTTTGTGTTTTGAATTACAATTACAAATTGCTTACTTTACTTTTGCTACAAACATGTTTAAGGACATGCATCTTGGTACTGTAATATTAATTAATACTTCGTTACAACTTTACTGTGGAACAAATTTTAAGTTTTCCTTCTTTCTCTTCCTAGTCTACATATTTCAAATTTTTGACTTCCCTCTGAGCTGTATCCACCCTTTTGTTTATTTTTATCTCATTAGCATCTTGGCATTTCATCATCCTTCCAAGCTCAAAAACAGAAGACAAAAGGATGTGGATATTGGTATGCTAGTACTCTGGAATAAAATCTTAAAAGCAGAGCCCAAAGGTGGCCACTGAGCCAGGCTAACACATCTGAGGCTACAGTGATGGGCAGTAAGAGGGAGCAGTAGCAGGAGCTGCTACCTTGGGAACTCACAACATAAGAGATTTCATCGTATGAAGGTAACAGAGAGCACATCAGTTCCTACTCCTGGGAGTATAGCTTAAATTATGCTACTACAGAGGAATTCATTATCCATAACTTATGACCAGAAAGACCAAACCCATTCACTATTCAAACTTCTGTGATCACACCATTACACAGCCCACAACTCCATAGTAATTCCGAGACACCCTAAAGTCCAAGGAGACAAGTCAGGTATGAGGAAGCACATGCTTGAGCAAACACATGTGTGCGTGCGTGCGTGCGTGCGTGTGTGTGTGTGTGTGTGTGTGTGTGTGTGTGTGTGTGTAATCCCAGCATTTGGGAAGTTGAAGGACAGAGGATTCAGAATCCAAGGCAAGACTCAACTATATAACCATCTGGAGGCCAGCCTAGGCTACATGAAACCCATCTCAAAATACAATTCAATAAATAAGTAAATAAATAAACAAACAAAACAAAGCAGTGGGACCACGCGGTGTATATTATCACTCTATTCATAGTCTACCTTCTTCCAGTCATTTTGTGCTTCGTATTGCTAAAACTAAAGTGGAGATTTTAGACGCTTTTCAGGAACATTAACTAGTGTCAGTTCAGACACAGCTCTACATCTACCAACTATTCTTTGCACTTACATGCAGAAAGAAAGCAAAATCTAGTGGCACGGGACTGTAATCTCAGCTGCTTATGAGGCAGAGGCAGGAAGATTGTTCGTTCAAGGGTGTTGTGAGCCACACAGATACTTCAAGGCCAGCCTTGGCGACTTAGCACTACTGTATCTCATCTATAGATGGATGCATGGATGCATGGATGGATGGATGGATGGATGGATGGATGGATGGATAGAGTGGTAGGAACAAGGATACAGTTCAACAAGAAAGTACTTGTCCAGTATGGGAAAAGTCCTAAATTTGGTGTGCTTTGAAGAAATTCTGCTCATATTATGGATGGACACACTTAAATCTCCATTCCTGTACTGTGATGTAGATCACTTGTGGAGACTCTGTCATCTGTCATTGTCAAGCTGCTGCAGGCCAGTGCAGGAAATGAGCCTTGAGCACTAGTCAATACACCATTCGGTGAAGACCAGTGAGAGTCTTAGCATGCACTCATATGCAATAAAGTAAACTAGAGTCCTGGGCTTCAATAAGTTGCAGTCATTCAAACACTTGATTTTTTGGATATTCTTTCTACAGACAAACAAAGTCTCCAAAAAATTTCCACAAAAGCTAGAGTACCAACCTGCCTTCAAGCTCCTCTTGCCTGCTTTCCAATGTGACGTGGAGCAAAATTTTCTACATGCAAGAGATTATTAGATAGTCTTGTGACTGAAGTAATTTATTCAATACCAAGGTGGCGTCCTCTGCTACTATGGCCCTCTTCTCCTGCCGACTATACCCCTTTAACCCAGACCTGTGCTCCTCTGTCTTGGGAGGAAAATTCTTCATGGTTTGATGTAGCATGAATCTTAAAAAGTCTCATTAATAAGATCAACCCTGAGGCCAGTTATTGGAGTGAATGCTGGAAGATCGGAGAAGCAGAATAAGCCACAGCTTCCTCACCTTGCCAGTTCCTCAGCTGATTCTGTTTCCTCAGACTGGAAGCTTCTGAGTTCTCATCCAAATGGATCTCAGCTGAACTGTGCTGCTCAAAGACTAAAAGCTTAACCAGCCTAGTTCCTGGTTTTCATGCCTTATATACCTTTTTGCTTCCTGCCATCACTTCCTGGGATTAAAGGCATGTGTCACCATGCCTGGCTGTTTCCAGTGTGGCTTTGAACTCACAGAGATCCGGATGAATCTCTGCCTCTGGAAGGCTAGGATTAAAGGTATGAGTGCCACCATTTTCTGGCCTCTGTATCTAGTGGCTGTTCTGTTCTCTGACCCCAGATAAGTTTATTAGGGTGCACAATATTTTGGGGAACATAATATCACCACAGTTTGCTCCGACGCCTCATCCATGACTTCTTGGTTCTTAGTGACAGCCATTCTATTGTCATTGTCCCCAGACACTGTGTCTGTGGGTGCATGGGAAAAAACCCTACTGTTGTGTCTATTCAGGTACCCGGCTTGAGTTCCACAGGGCACACAGCCAAGATACACTTCCATCCACCCTGTGCTTAGGTGTGGTAGAAATTGAAGAAACTTTCTTTGGGTGAGCAAATGAAAAAAAAAATCTCTCAATGAATTTATTTTTTTAGGTTTTTTATTTTTTAATTATTAAAATGAAATTTAGAGAATATTCAAAGGTTGAACACTGAGAAGTTCTGACTACCCATTCCATCCACATGGGAAATAACGCTGTTTATTTTTTAAAAGTTCTATGAATAAAGCTATACTTAATTAAATTTAAGAATATTTACCCAAATTATATTTTATAATCATGTCTGAAATCAAATGCCTTTCCACTATTTTAATTGTAACACAACATTACAATGGACATAAAATTGATATAAGGTACTAAAACATCTGTTAAAAGCATTGAAATTAGAAGATATCTTTGGTATAAAAATTCTTAGTTATATTTCTGATTTTAATTTCTTTATTCCACACTATTACTATATAAATGCATAATACTGTACAGTTGGGGGCTTATAAAAATACTGCCCTATGTCCATTATATATAATAGTCCTAACTACTAGAATGTGTTAAAGTTGTTTCAAAAAATAGGTAGTTCTATAATTACATACAAGTTTATGAACTCGCTAAAAGCCCCAAGGACATCAGAGGGTTCCCAAAAATTCTTTTTTCTCATTTTTTAAAAACTTTTCGTGTGTGTGTGTGTGTGTGTGTGTGTGTGTGTGTGTGTTCCTAAGTGTGACAGGCACATGTATGTACATACCTGTAGAGACCAGGGCAAGGTCCAATGCCATGCCTTATATTTGAGACAGTGACTCTCTATGGTCTGGGGCTTGCCAATTTTAGGCCAGGCTGGCTGTCAAGAGAACCCCGGGGGGTTTACTTGTCTGCCTCCTCTGAGCTGGGATCACAAGCAAGAGCACCCGATCTGGCCTTCTTATCACGGGTTCTTGGAAAGGAACTCACTTCCTTAAACTTGCAAGAAAAGCACTTTATCAACAGCAATGTTCTAAGCTGTAGGAGAGCTTCTTTAATTATTATTATTTTATAGTTAGCTTGCAATATAGTGGTTATCATGATGACATTTATCTGTAGCTGAAGTTTTTCTGTGTCCTGCCCAGTCAGCAGCCGCTCAGACCACGTAAGCACACAGAGGCTTATATTAATTATAACTGCGTGGCCATGGCCCAAGCCTTTTGCTAGCTAGCTCTTAATATCTTAAATTAGCCCATAACTATTAATCTATGTATCACCACATGTTCCGTGACTTTACCTGAGTCCCATTACATGTTGCTCCTTGGGCGGCTGGCTGGCATCTCTGCTGCCTTCTTCGTGTCTCTCCTTGAATTTCCCACCTGCCTCTAAGCTGCCTTGCCATAGGCCAAGCAGCTTTATTTACCAACCAATCAGAGCAACACATATTCTCAGCCTACAGAAAGACATTCTCCCATCATTTCCCTATGTGTCAGTCACCGTATTCCACTTGCATTCACCCGGCCCTCCTCACCTTCCTGTCCTGTTCTCTCCCTTTCTGCCGCTGGTCCCTTCATTTTCACCGCGCGCGCGCACACACACACACACACACACACTCATTAAAAAAAAAAAAAAAAAAAAAAAGAGTATGATGCTGGTCTTCCATTCTCCCCTTTTATACTCTGTTGTCTTCCCTGTCTTCAGTCTCTTTAGCCTCCTTTCTTCCCTACTTTCACTTTTTAAATATTTTTGAGGCAAGATCTTACTATGTAGCACTAGATATCCCAGAACTCCATGTAGATCAGGCTGACCTAAAGCTCATAGAGCTCTGCCTGCCTCTGCCTCCTAGATCCTAGGATTAATGCCTACACCACCAAGCCAGGCCATCTTCTACTTAGAAAAAAACAGTCTGAACTTAGAATATGAGAAAAAAATGTAGGGTTTTTTTAGTTTTGTTTATTTTGCTTAAAATGATTATCAGTTTCACCTTCTTTACGGCTAAATACACAGCACATTATCATTATCCATCCCCTTGACAGTAGACATCCAGGCTCTCTGGGTCTTGGCTGTAGTGAGTAGGGTCACAATAAATGCGGATGGTCAGGTGCCTCTGCAGTGGGTCGCTGTCCATGTGCTGTGCTCCTTTGGATATGTTCCTCAGAGTGACATATCTGGTACATGTAATAATTCTGTTTTTAGTCTTTTCAGGAATCTCCATACTATTTCCACGTGACTGTACTGATTTCTGTTCCCATCAGTGGTGTGTGAGCTTTCTCTTTCCAGCCATCCTTGCTGGCATTCGTTGTTCTTTGTTTTTATTCTGAGTGAGGTGAGGTGGAATCTCAATGGAGCTATGACTTACAGTTTCCTGATGGCTAAGGATGTTGAATATGTTTTCAGATATCTATATACTGGCCATTTGGATCTCTTCTTTTGGGAACTGAGATACCAGATATCCTTGCCAGAACGGTTGGCCAAATAAGTTCATGTTTGAGGACAAAGTCATGATTGAAACTATCGAGTGCATTACTGAAGACAACTACAGTAAATTAAGACTAATTAGAAAATGAATATTATAATATTATGGGGTTTAATCTTCATATGTCAGGGTGAGGGTTCATATTTCCATCTCATGATAATCCTTACCAGACTCAAAACTGTTTTAAGCCTACTGGACATATATTTGTACAATCCTACCTTATCTTGACAAAGTTAAATTAATTTTTTTAGTTGTCGTCTCATTATTTCCTACACATAGACGTTCAATAAAATTTCAAGTCTGTTAAATCTGAAATGTAAAGTTTCTTATTGTTTTGATAGTGAGGTGTCTCTGATGTACACAAAAATCATACACCCAGCTGCTACACATCAGACAATTTTCAGTGACTTCCTGTATATTTGTATATTTCTTATTTCCTTTAATGTTATGCCCTTATCAGTATATATATATATATATATATATATATATATATATATATATATATATACACACACACACACATAAAACCTTACTTACCCTTGTGTTTGGCATATGTCTGTTGTAAATCTATGAGATAATTGACATAGATGACTAGTTTTTTTCTCTTTTTTCACATCTTTCTTTCCTTTTGTCTTTTTCTTTCTGAGACAATCTTACTATATTCTTAGGCTGATGTTGAACTCTAGGGCTCAATTGAGCTACTGGCCTCAGCCCTTCGGTGGCTTGGATACAAGTGCACACCACTGTCCTTGCCCTCAGTATCTGCTGTCTGCATTACATTGGCATCATGCATTCAACTTAGGACGTAAAATTTAATTCTCCCTAACAGGCTAGGACCATTCCCCAAATCCTTACTTAAAATATTGACACATAGATGTTATTTCAATGACTATTGTGCAAACTGTTTCCAACCAACCTGTCCAATATATGAATCAAAACCCACAGTGATTGGGATTGATGCAAATGGACAGAGGTTTTGTGGCTTTTTCTGGAAGTGGCAATAAAATGTTAGTGACAGATGAGGTGAAAAGTCTGTGAGTGATGCTTGCAGATTCCCACACAGAGTGTGGTCTGCTACTCACTGTCTCCTCATATGTGCATGAAGTGCTTGCAAGAAGAGTTATACAAGAATCCTATCACCTCTTCCAGCCCTTCAGGTTTTCATGGCCCTGTGATATGATGAAATCTTTCTTATACTGCTGGTTCAGACTCTAGATTAATGGGCACCTAGCAAGGCCACAAAATCCATTGGGCCAGCAAGTTATTATAAGAACAATCCACAAAGGATTATCCAATAAGGTTATATATTGTCTTGTGTATTAATGAGCAATGTTTATATATTTTAAAAATATGAATTTTTAATCTGATTATGATGGTAACATAAAACACCACTGAATTCATTCATGCCCCCTTATATAACTTGCCAACCAAGAGGTAATATGATATCACAGATTATATTATGTGGAAACTCATGGAATCTTTGCCATTTAAAACAGGACCTTCCTATTACAAAAGCATTAAACGGATGTTTTCTTTTAGTTGAAATACCTAATACACTAATAAAAACAAGTGTGAATCATTGTGGCATTTACATGAAAGCATAACTTTTTGAACACCTTCTCACTGAAAAGCCCTAAAGAAGTACAAAATACATCCTTTTTAAAGCTTAATATTTTCTGCTGGTTTGCATGTTCCTGTGTGGTGGTGGTGGTGGTGGTGGTGGTTGGGGGTGGGTGATCAAAGTTAGTTTCACAAAGTAGTTTCACTTTACAGAATCACAGCTTTGTAAAATCAGCTGTGAATTTGAGTCAAGACCGACTCAGGAAACCACTTACGTAGTATTTACTGATGAAGCTATGTGGATTTTAGTTGTAACACATGATTAAAAAAAAAAAAAAACCTTGTAGGACTAGTACAACCTCACTGGACAACTCACTGGTCTGGGGTTTGTTTTTGTTCTCACAAGCCCCATTGTTGACAGGTCAGCACACAACATCAAAGTTTACTTAAGAGAATTCCATTAATGTTTTGATGTCATCGTCTACCATATAGAGAACCAGCCACTTCCTGATTTCCCTCTTGAGAACTGTATTAGAGTGAATGGCACATGCACACAGTTTATTAGAAACCCTTGTCCATGTTCTAGAACCAATCAGTCATTCATCAACAGCAAATATTTACTAAGCACACTCTCTGTCATGCTTAAGGAACTAACAATAGTCAGAGGGGATGTCACATGGAAGTGTATCCTAAGGACCTTCCCTTCTGCTTCCAAGCTCCTATGGGTTTAGTTCTCTTCACTGAGGGCATGACAGAGCAAAAGATCCCCCTAACTAGTGTGTGTCAGAAAAAAAGACTCAGCTCCACATCTTCCGAGAGTTATGCTCCAGAAAGCTCATGATCTAGTGGATTTCTGCTGAATTAACCTGTGAATTATGATACTCTTCATGTATGTACTTGCACACGTGTATGTGTTCATGTGCACACAGGTGTATATGTTGTTGGTGTTTGGAGTGGAGGTCAGAGGACAACCAGAAGTGTCATTACTCAGGAACTGATTACCATTTTTTTGGAGACATGGTCTCTCACTAGCCTAGAGTTTGCCAAGCAGGCTAGGCTGTCTGCCAGTGAACTCAAGGCATAAGCCTATCTCCACCTCATCAGTGCTGGGACTTTAAGCAGCCCCTCTGCCCCGCATGTCTTTCCTACATGGGTTCTGGAGCTAGAACTCAGGTCCTCAGGATTGTCCAGCAAACCCTTTATCAACTGAGCCATCTCCTCAGCTCTTGTTTTATGCTTTTAGAGACTCAATGCAAGCTGTGTTTATGGAACTATAGCATATAAAGCTTTAAATACATCATATATATATAAGCATAAATGAGAGCATATATATATATATATATACACACATATACATTATACTCTCATATATATAAATGAGAGAGACGGGTGGGGAGATGGGCTGGATATCACAAGACTCAAGGAACAGAGAAAATACCATGAAAGTTTAATACATTCATGGTGTTAAAATGCACCTTAGTGTGAGCTGCTTGGAGGAAATATAAAGAATTTGGATCCTAGAGTTGGGTCCCAAACATTTACCCCAAGGTTGGAGGAAAATGTGCAACGCAAACAGACTGTTTGTTCTTCTTTCTTGGCTTTGGAAAGTAAGACCCAGAGTGGGAGCCTCTGGGGTAGACTCCTGCTGGCCTTGCTTTTCCTTTTCATAGATTCATCAGCTCTTGGAAACAGCCAGGGTCCTCCAGAGAGAAAGGGGAAATGTGGCTCATTGAGCCCTGTCGAGTAAAAAAGGAAAGCCACATTTGAATCAGCTTGAAGGTTAATAGAGAAAAGAATCATATAAACGCACTCCTTTTCCCCAAGGGCAGGCTACTGTCAGTGGAAGATGATTGAGTTAGCAAAGGCATTTCCCCTCCCCCCTTTTTTCCCTAAAACTTTCAGCATTGTGAATTCTACCCATGCATTCTACCCCCAGCCTCTGCATCCCTTCCACACCGTAAAGAGAGCATTCAAGGCTGCCAACTCTATAAACCTCCAGGGTGATCAACGCCAGATTTCTCATCACCCGTGCATGGGATGATGGGGGAAATAGCTGAACTTGACTTAACCATTCCTTTGGACTGGTGAGGAGAGAGAATGAGATATGCAAACAAAGTGAATGCTCTCTTTACAGCTATGGAAATGCTGCTAAAAAGCTATGCAGACTTTAGGTTTTATTGTCCTATTTTAATATTTAAAAACCATCTCAGCGTTCCCCTCTAAGTAGGTGATCAATATGAAGAAATACATAAAATACCTGATTCTTCACTAGCCCATGAATTTATACATAATATATATGCTACATATACTAATTTTCATTATTC